TTTTTGGGACAGAGAGAGACAGAGCATGAACGGGGGAGGGGCACAGAGAGAGGGAGACACAGAATCGGAAACAGGCTCCAGGCTCTGAGCCATCAGCCCAGAGCCCGACGTGGGGCTCGAACTCACGGACCGCGAGATCGTGACCTGGCTGAAGTCGGACGCTTAACCGACTGCGCCACCCAGGCGCCCCTCAATTCATTATTTTATATAAGAAAATAAATAGGCAATGGTAAATGTTCAAGATAAGCATTTGTTTATTAAAGTGTTCTGTCCATAAAGAGAGTCTGAGCAGACATATTCTTTTCAAAAAGAGAGAGAGAGAGAGAGAGAGAGAGAGAGAGCGAGAGGCTACTGTTGAAATTTATGGTACCAATTATTTTTGTGTTCTAGAATGAGAGTTCATTGTAATAGATAGGATATATTAACCAAGTGCACAGAAAATAAACGTCCCAAGATAGATAGTGCTATTGCAGTAGGCAAGTTAAGAGCCCTCTAGAGCAAAGACCAGGAAAAGTTAAGAAGATTACTTTAAGACTTGCATGAGGTTAAGGGACAAAACATTACAAAGAGTATAGATTCTTAAAGTAAAAAGATCAAATAAACATTTGTCATCATTATCTCAGTCTTTCTTCCTTTCCATCTTCAAAGGTCTCTACTGCTTATTTTTTCCCTCAAATGTCTGTCATCAATGCTTTTCCAAGTGTCAGATCTTAAAGGTGACATGAGAAGACCCCTCCCTTCTGAAGAGAACAGTGTTTCAAAGCTCTCAAAGCAAAGTTTCTTCCTACAGCAGAAGGACTTCATGAAGGACAGTGACCTCCCATTAACTGTAGCAGAGACCCATGCCACACAGAGCTTTCTCCATATCCTTCCTCACTTTATGCTATTTGTACATTAACCTGTCCAGGAATTCAAACTGCAAGCTATTCATAATTTCCATGAAAAAACTTTTGCAAAAACCAGTCTCTGAGTGTTTGTGATGCTGAAAGACCATCATTTTTGCCAGGTTATATAAAAGAAAGGCATTTTTCTACTGCAAGAAAGCATAGAGCTAGTAGCAATCAATGTTTTGTAATCGGATGAAAATACCATTAAGATTCTAAGGCAGCATCCTAAGAGGTCCCTCTTGTTTGCAGTTGGCAGACAACCAACTGTTTCAATACAAGCAATGAGTTGCAGTAGACTCAACTAATTATGTCTATCCTGCCTCTACACAACTCTTCTTACCCCCCAGTGCCTACTCCATACTCTCAGAGGAAGAAGATAAGCAGATGGATGTGAGCAGGTGCACAGGACCTTGTGCAACCACTAGCCTTGAGAGCAATTGGTCAAAACCCTTGAAGCCAATTAAACTCTTAGTAAATGGTTTCCAAACTCCAGCAGATGGCCTATTGGTCCCAGTTGCGCAGTTCAACATCTATATGACTCCATATAAGAAACTAAAAACTGGGAGTTAGAGGATTGCTTCTCTCAAGTATATCCTACTTACCATTTTATAATTTACTCCATAACTTTTGTCTTTTCTTCATAACGCAAAGCTTGGCCTGATTCTATTTTCTCCACTGATTAGAATGCCACAAAGGGATGACAGTTGTGTGTTTAACCCTATCCAAGGACTTGAATATGTTTTCATTTTACAACCAAGGAAGCAGATGATTAACTGAAGCTGTCACAGTTATACGAGGCCAAGTTAGGCTTCAAACTCACACCTCCTACCCCACAAAGTGAGCCACTTATTACTGAAACTCAGTTTCAATATTCATATTCAATATTCATCTTCTTGGCAGATAACAAAGTTACCATTACAAACATCCCATTTTAATGAAACTACCTTTGATTTCCAAATAAAACTACCTTTTCTATTCCTGACACTTTTCTAGACACTATGAATGTCAACCTCAGATAAATGATTACAGAACTTTCCTGCCAGGATACTTTCCATTTTTCCTTTATTACATTTAGAATCCCCCAGATATTTATCTTCCACTCTCTTGTCCTTCCTCTCTATTTCTATGTTTTCCTGACTGCCACCCACCTTCTCAAACTGGGAATGCTAGTTTAGAGCCCATCTTTTTAATAAAAGGTTACTTTAAATGCTGACATCCCCAATATATGTTCCTACATTCCTTATACTTTTCTTGTTGTAGTTTCCAATTAGGGATTGGATTTGGCTTTTATAACTCCAAGAGAATGTGAGTTTCCTTTTTGGCATGAACTTATACCCACATTGCTTGGTGCTGTAAGACTGTTTTCCCAAATCAGAGTTAGAGCCCTGAAGGAGGAAATAGTTATAAGGCAAAGCATAGGGAACAGAATCAAGGAAATGTATTTTTATAATGATTTTCCTGAGGACATTCTCAGGTTCCAGCCCTTCTCCTTGGTAGCCAGATTATTTTGGCTTTATTTACAATGGAAGAGGTCCCATGTGTCTGGCTAATGGACAGCAGTCTATAGGCATTTCCCCCTTTTCTAGAAACAGAATAAAATCAGAAAGCTCTTATACCATTCTTAAATCCAACTTTCCAGATCTTCACTAAAAAACATTTACATGATATCAAATCACAAAGTAATTCTCTTTTATACTTAGTAATCAAATGAAGTTTGTTCTGACTTGAAGCCTAATGGAACTGACAATGAACTTTCTCTTTGCTTTCCTATAAGAAGAAAGAACTTTCTCTTTCCTTTGTTTAATTGCTGTGGTTGAATTGTATCTCCTCAATTCACATGCTGAAGCTGTAACCCTAAGTATATCAGAATGTGACCTTATTTGGAGATAGGGTTTTACAGAAGCAATCAATCTACAATGTACAACCTAAAATTAGGTAGGCCATAATCTACAACGACTGGCGTCCAGAAAAGGGGAAATTTGGGCATAGATATAGGGAGAATGCAGTGTGAACATAAAGATGACCATCTACAAGGAGACAGGCCTGGAACAGATCCTTTCCACACAGACTTCAGAAGGAGGAAACCCTACCTACACCTTGATTTTGGACTTTCAGCTTCCAAAACAGTGAGGAAAACAAATTTCTATTGTTTATACCACACAACGTGTCGTGGTGTTTTTTTACGGTAGCCCTAGCAAACTAACATAGTCACCTACTTCATTTTTTTTTCCTGCAAATTAAACTTTCATTTTTTGACACACTTCAACTCTACATTATTGTTTAAGAAACATATACTTGTACATATATAATTTCATATTTGATCTCTTAACTTCAGGAAAAAAAAATCTATGCTACTCTTTAAAGATAATGTTCTGGATTTGATGATAAAAGTCATGATAGCCTCAGGAGATGTTGAGAATCATTAAAACAACATTTTACAACTGAATAAACTGAGGCAAGTTAGAAACCTTTTAAAATCGCTCCATTGGTTATTGGTGAAGATAGTCACATGGCTCCCAGCTTCCATATTGGAGCATACAACCATCCTTAGGCATTAACCAAGAATTATATATCATTAAAATAGTTTTTCCCTAATTTGTCATGTTAAAAAACGTTTAAAATCAGGATAATATAACAACAAGTAGAAACTTAGATCACAAAATAGTTTACCCCACTGAAACCATCTTCTACAAATTCCTGACATATTTTATTTAAGTTTATGTCTTTAGAGAGAGAGATGGGGAAGGAAGGGGCAGTGAGAGAGGGAGAGAGAGAATCTCAAGCAGGCTTCTCACTCTCAGCACAGAGTCCAACTCAGGACTCGATCCCACAAACCCGTGAGATCATGGCTTTAGCCAAGATGATCAAGAGTATGTCATTTAACCGACTGAGCCACGCAGGCATGCCCTTGACCTTAAGCAGACTTGATTATTTTCACTGTTACATGGTAAATATATATTTATACCATTTTGACATAAGCATAGCAATGAAAGGTACAATATCTCATTTAGTCCATGGAAAGATTCAGATTTTCATTTAAATTCTTCACAGTTAAGCAGAGGGAAATGTCCAGAGGACCACATGTGTATCAGCTAATGCTCAATAATAGCTTCCACAAATGCACTGCATTCTCAGACGGTTTTCAAATAATATTATTTTAATTCAAATTGCTACTAATCACAAAGCTAATTACTTCTTCATAAATCTTTTCTGTGTCTTTTCTCCTCCGATTTATTTCCTTTGATACTAGTTTTGTTCTTTGAGAAGATCTAGGAGAAATATGGTAGAAACTTCAAACACCTAATGTGGAAGAGAACTCTTGACTCTTCTATACCAAAGAGAAACAACTAAGATGAATTGGCTAATGTTACAATGAAATAGATTTCAACTCAAAACAAAGAAAACCTTTAAACAGAGATACACTGTGACAGAATTGGATACTGCAAAAGATCTTAAAGGTTAGTCGCAAGAGATGTTTTAAGCATTAGATCATTTGGGGGCTTTGTTATAAAGAGGATTGAAGCAATGATTTGACTCAATTCGATTCAATGGTTTTTTATGGTCTTTTTACCCCAAAAGTCTGTGGTTCTATGAACTTATTAATAATCACAGGACCAGTTCTTCCTCTCAACTAACACAAGGCTTAGTCCTTCATACTTTTGACATCCTGCGTGTCTGGTATAGCTGTGTAACTTCTTTAACACAAATTTGGATGACAGGATTAAACCTCAGTCAGAGCTCATATATTTTACACAAGAGGCAGGCCTGAGGTCAGTTTTCCTTTGCTAATTATTAATTAGTATGAAATCATGTATCTGTTAGCATATTGGGTGAGAACAATGAACTGTTCTATAATCATTAAAAAACAGAATTATTTTAACAGTCATTTTAGTCCTGGGGATTCTTTTGTAAAGAACTACATATATATGGGGGCACCTGGGTGGCTCAGTTGGTTAGGCGTCCCACTCTTGATTTTGGTTCAGGTCATGATCTCATGGATCCTTCCCCCTCCCCTGCTCACATTTTCTCTCTCCCCCTCTCAAAATAAATAAATAAACTTAAAAAAAAAGCTAAATATATATGTTGCATACCATGAGATAATCAAATACTAACCTCCTTCATTTTTTCCAGTTCATTCTGTAAAGCTTGTTTTGCAATCTCAACTTCTATAAGCTGTTGCCTCAGTTTTTCGTTTTCATCTTCTGTTGTGGTTCGCTTTTCTTCTACATTTTCCAATTCATGGTGAAGTCTCACAGATACATCCTTTGCAACCTAAATTGAAGAGTTTTAACAATAAAATATAGTTAAAGACAGTACAATAAGTGAGCTAAACTTATACTCACATTAAAAGTACTAAAAGCCAATACACAAATAGTTTCTATACTATACCAGGCATCTTTCCAGATGCTTTACATATAAGTCATTCACATATATAAATTATTTAACCCTCACAACAATCCCATGAGATAAGTACTATTATTATTCCTATTTCACAGGTGAGGAAAGTGAGTCTCAGAGATGTGAAGTAATACGCTCAAGGTCACACAGCTAACAAGTGGTCAAGTAGTCTGGCTCTCCACTCTGTTTCCTCAACCTCTACACTACACCATGGTAATAGATGTTCAATCGTGCTTTATCATGTGTATAAAAATTTCACATATTTCCTCTAATTCTACAACAAAACAAGATGTTTCCATTATCACTCATTTTAAATACTGGAAAACGGGGGTGCCTGGGTGGCTTAGTCAGTTAAGTGTCTGACTTCAGCTCAAGTCATGATCTCGCAGTCCCTGAGTTTGAGCCCCGAGTGGAGGGCTCTGGGCTGACTGCTCAGAGTCTGGAGCCTGCTTTGGATTCTGTGTATTCCTCTCTCTCTGCACCTCCCCTGCTCTTTCTCTCTCTCTCTCAAAAATGAGTAAACATTAAGGAGTTTTTTTTAAAAACTAGAAAACAAAGTTTTCTAGTGGGAGTGGGACCTGAATTTTAATCCTATAATGTCAGGTGCTTACTTTTAAGAAATATGTCAGTCCTTGAGATTAAGTTTTTGTTTTTGTTTTTTGATTACAGTGTACCTTTTTGCCTTTTGTTTTGAGATTATCTTGGAAATTTAGGGTTTGGAACAAAACCCTATGGTGTAGTATGATGTAGTGGCTCATGACATAGACTGTGGTTTTATACTGGGTGAGGAGACAGCTTGGCCACCTACTAGCCTATATCCATGGGTAGGGACTGGGCACTTATAACCTCTGTAAAAGGTTCAGCTACTGTATAAGATGATGATAGGATTACTAATCCTAACCTCATGGGTGCTTTTTTTTTTTTTTTTAATCTTGAGCTAACATTTAGATAGATAACTAATGTTAATGTATATAACAATGCTTCCCACCGTACTTGGGACATAGTGAGCACTCAACAAATGATAGGAAAAGAAAAAGAAAAAACAAAAAGAAATAATACAATGACTTTCATTAAATGTTTTCTCACATCTTTCTTTAAAACATAGGAAAATTACACTTGATTTTTATATATTGATGAGGTTAACATAATTAAAATTATGTTTGGTGGTCCAAGGTTATGAAGATAACATTGGGTTTGCATTGTCAATGGATCTGCCTACAGTCAAACTGAACTGAACAGACCTCATCCACTTACAAAACTTATTTCAAGGTTAAAATTTCTCCACTGGGGGAAATTCTAAAGGAACAACTTCATATTAAAAACGAGGTTCTTTCACTTACTGCACTCTTTACTTTTCCAAAAGGGGCGGCAAGTGGGACAGATTTCTTTTCAGGGAGTTAGCAAAGTGGTGAGTACAGAAAGGAAGGAGGTTAGGGAGACTTGCTGAGAGAGACCTTAACTCCGATATCGTCCCAATGCTGTTCCTATTCTGGGCTTTAATTCCTCTCTCCGCAGGAGTCTACATCCCGCTGCTCTCGATTTCACCTGGCCTTTACTTGGAAGACAGCCTCTGGAGGCCAGGTCGACGCCAGAGCCTGCGCTCTGCCACACCCGCGTTTCTGCTGGGGGGGAGGGGAGACGCCCTCTGCCACCGTCTCTGGAAGAGTCGCCGGGACTCCCTAGAAAGCTCCCAGAGCTCGCTCTCCGCCAGGCACTCCACACACCCTAGACCCCTCAGACCCACTGGTCTGTTCTTTCCCTTCCCCTGCCCGGAACCTGATACTTTGTGGTCAGCGCTGCGAAACTCCGTGTCTTTGCCAATGGCCACTGAAGGCCTTTCATAGCAAAGAGGTCCCCACTTGCTGCCCCTACCCCGCGCCTCCCAGCCCCAGCGCTGCAGACCTTGAGGTCCTGCTCCAGGCTGCGCAACAGCTCCCCGTCGATTTCCCCTGTCTGTGCGTAGCGGAGTCTTTTGCGCTCGGCTTTGCGGAGGCGGTACTGCAGGATCCGGCAGTTTTTGTTGGCTCTCTCCAACTCGTGGCGCATTTCCTGCAGTTGACAGGCATCCTCCTCGAAGAAAGTGTCCCTCATCTCGTCCATCTCGGTCCTCAGCTCATCAATCTCGTTCTGAAGCGGTGACAGGCCGCGGGTCAAAATTAACCTCGCCCCCCGGCACTCGGACATGTAAAGTGTACACCCCATGCCAACTCCAAATTCTCCGTTTTATTGCCCCCTCTCCATAAGACAGGAGTGACAGAGCTGCATGAAGAAGAAACTATAAAAACGGGCCTTCTTTGGGCCTTCCCCAGCTCTCCTACTCAACCTCTCTCCATGAAAAAGTGGGACAACCCATGATAATTAGAGAAACGAAGGACCAAATTTGGATTTAAATTAAACCTAAGGCTACTGATCTTAGGCTGCTTTAAATCTGGAAAAGGCCTAGGAACCCCCTCCTCTCATTTCCTGTTCCCTTCCGTCTTTAAGGCTCCCTAACATGTTAACAGCCTCTCACCCTCGCGAGACACGCCCTAATCCTCCAAAGCCCACACCTCCCCTCCCCCAGCCGGGTTCCCCCACCCTTCTCACCTTGAGAGTCTCGTTTTCCTCTCGGAGCTTCTCCATTTCCTCTTGCATTTCTTCCTGCTCCTGGAGCTGCTGCGGGTGCGGCTGCGACGAAGGAGGCGCCGCCGCCTGCATGCCCCCTCCAGTTGCGCTGCCCTCTGCGCTCTGCTGGGGGCCCTCCGCTGCCGCCGCCATTGGGGAGACGGAAGGGACTGCAAGAGGCTCGCAAATGGCAGGGGCGCCAGAGACCGGGGAGCTGCGGGTGCTGCTGCCGCCGTTCTTAGTGTGCATTTGAGCCGCGGCTGCCGCCGCTGCCGCCCGCTCTTTCTTGAGGTGGAACTGGATGAGCTCAGACTGCAGACATCCTTCCTTCCAGTAGCTCCCTCCGCCACCGCTGCCACCCCCCACAACACTGCTTCCGGAGTTTCTGCTGCCGGGGCCTAGGGTTTTGCCCGCAGAGGAGGATGGTGAAGGGGAGGCCCCCTCCCCGCCGCTGCCGCCCCTCTGCTGAGCTCGTACGCCTTTCCCTCGCCAGCCCCTGGGCGGCGGCGGCGGCGGCTGCGGAGCGCCCCCCTCCCTCTCCCCGGAGCCGCTGCCGGCTCCTCCTCCTTCCCCACCCCCTCCTCCTCCTTCCCCTAGCGGAGGGGGTTCCCCGAGTTTAGCGGACACGGGCTCTAGCTCCCGGGGAGGCTCCTCCGTCGGGCCAGGCCTCCTGCCGCCCACCGGGGCCAGGGTCGCCGCGGGGGCCGCTTCAGCACCAGCCGCGAGATGGACAGCTCCCGGCACGGCCCCTTTGGGCGCCAGGGGCGCAGCCTTCTCCGCCCCGCCTCCGCCTCCGCGGGCGCTGGCCGGAGGCACCGAGCGGCTCCCGGTCTTGTTGCCTTGCTGCTGCTGCAGCTGCTGCAGTCGAACAGAATTGAGTTTAGTGCCGGTCCCCACAGGGGACCGGGTGGTCGTAGTTGTCTGCCGGACCGAATTGTCCCTTAGTCTAGCAGGTGATTGTGCACGCTGCTGCTTTCTGCTGCTGCCCTCTGGGTGCAGGCGAGCCTCAGTGGCAGAGGTGGCGGCAGAAGCTGTAGCTGTGGCAGGGGCAGCGCCCCCCGTCGGTGGCTGACTCATGGCGGTCTAGGAAGAGTCTATCAGATGAGATTTAGAATGGTCCATCACCAGATCATTCTCATTCTCTTCCCTCCTCAAGTCCTCCAACCTTCCTTTCTAATCTGGGGTAGAAACAAAAGAAGGGAAGCACACAACATGTCTGCATTGTTACAGAGCAAAGGGTGATTTCCCTAGAAAAGAGAAGTCCTAGAAAATAATGAGATTTTAAAAGCACTTAATAGAAACCCCGACTTCAGAAATAGGTGCAGAATTGTCAATTCTCATTTTGCCCAGGGAGGCGCCATCTCCATTTAATTCCATCTCAGTAAAATGGTGACGATCTGAAAGCAGCTTAATGTAACATTCTCATGGTTGCAGGTTCTGGCAACGCTGAGATATGGATCAGAAAGGAATTGGTAGGAAGGGAGATTTAGGGGAGAAAAAGGTTAGGGGATAAAGTCAGGCAAAAGCTTCAGAAGGAAAAGGAGGTGTCCACATGTTAAAGGTGAATCCCCTTTTTTAACTTTGGATTTCCTCCTCATTCAATCTGTATTTTAAAGCCTAGTTTAGTAGAAAATGTTTTATTTAATTATTATTCTCAATTAGAGGAAAAGGGTCATGATGTAGGCTTCTAGAGAAAATTTTCCGTGGATATGTGGTACTTTTCTCAGACACCTTTAACTCTTCATGTTGTTCTTGGTTAGAGAAATGCACCCATTTTCCTTTAGACTAGAGCTAAAATAAAAGTAATGAATGACTTTAAATCAACTTCAGTTTCAAGAAGGTAATGGCATTGAGAATCACCTATATGGTGTAGTTATTAGTACCCCTAAAGGTATTCTTCTTTAAGCTTTGGCAAATAATTAAAATATATATATACTTTTGGAAAGGTTCATTGGTGGCTCTGCACAATTTCTTAAATTATAGGTGATGACATCTATATTTATCCAAATTTTATAGTTTTTGTGAGTCATTTTGGTTTTAAGTGTAATTGCTAAATAGAAAATATTTTCATTCTTAAGCATCTTATTACATGTTATATATCATAGATAAAGTTTTACTTTTAAAGTGCCCAGTTCCTTCTATGGAGACAAATTCTGAGACAGAATGACCCTGCACCCCAGAAACCTGGTGCATCCTCACTCATGGTGGTAAGATAAACCCTTATTGTATATATTTTTTTACAAGATAAATCCATCACTGGCTTTTAAAATCCGGAAAATAGCAAGCCATTGCTTTATGAGGTTCTTCTCCCTAGTGATCCATCTACCTAGTTAGTCAGTTTGGTGCTTTTTCCTTAGAAATATCGTCTCTCTCTAACACACTGAAAAGAGTATGACTAGGCAGAAAGTTCTGCTTTAAAAAATTCCTCCGATGAGGAGAGGAGATGCTTGCCAGTTACTTTACTAGCATTATTCTTGTTATGGCCTATTTTAAGTATCATAACTTAGTCAACATGCATCAATTCCTCATTTTATGAAGAAATATTACTGGAAGTTTCCTTCTCCACCTGTCTTTCTTTTTCAGGGTCTCCTTCCAACTCAATTTGCAAAATAATAGGGGCGCCTGGGTGGCGCAGTCGGTTAAGCCTCCGACTTCAGCCAGGTCACGATCTCGCGGTCAGTGGGTTCGAGCCCCGCGTCAGGCTCTGGGCTGATGGCTCAGAGCCTGGAGCCTGTTTCCAATTCTGTGTCTCCCTCTCTCTCTGCCCCTCCCCCATTCATGCTCTGTCTCTCTCTGTCCCTAAAATAAATAAATGTTGAAAAAAAATTAAAAAAAAAAAAAGAAAAATAATAGTGAATAAAGAAGACATTAGGGGGAGAAAAGTTATCCACCAACTTATTTTCTATATGTTCTCTGGAGCCTCATGCTCCTAGAATGTCTGGCCTAGTTCATGGTCATGGGTCACACTAATATGGACCACCTAAACAAGTTATATTGCCAAAGCAACCTTATTTTTGTTTTGTATTAGGCATAATCACTCCGGAGCTGAGAGCCACCAGACAACGTTTAAACTCGGTTCTCAGACAGCTTTAACCCAGGAGAAAGTTCAGGTTCCAGGAACTCGTCTCCCACAATCAAAGGTACCACGCTGTCACGTGGTTCTCACAAAGTGACAAGATGCTGTGCCCCTTCAAGGCTTCCCCCGTGGAAATAGCCGACCACGCAACCCCGGATGAGCACAAACCAACAATTTTAATCTCAAATTTTATCTGCCCACCGACCCACCCCATCTCTCATCCCCACCGTTTTAGAAATCCAGAAGAACTGCTCACTTCTCAGCAGACGCGATGTTTCGAAGTTGATGCAAATGAACAGCGCTTTCCTTCTGTTCTTCCGGCGACCTCAGGGTTTATTTTTATGCCTTTTAAAGACAAGGAAAGTTTAACTTCGTGGTATTATATGCGACTTTCTGGCTGAGCACGACTTTGGGCTGTCTTGCCTCAGTTCCACACCCAATTCTCCAAACAATGGCGTTAACGTGCAGACTCGGCGGCCCCCAGAGCCGGTTACTTCCCGCGGCCCGTGACTCGGTTGGAGCTGCGGCTCCGAGCAGGCGAACACGAGAGGTACCAAGCCGTGCCAGACGCTCCCCAGGAAGTGCACTGATATTCATGAGCTGACCTCACCGGACTGGGCAGGGGAGAGGGCGGGATTGCAAGGGAGGATAGCTCAGAAGTAACCAAAGAGAGGATACTTTCAAGAGGAAAGAGAAGAAGGCGGGGACGGGCCGGGGGCGGAGGATGGTAGGGGAGGTGGCAGGAAGACAAAAAGGCCGGAGCCACACCCGAGATGGAAGATCCTTGGCTGCGCTCAAAGTCCGTGCTGCGCTCTCATATCCCGTACTTGGCAGAAGATTCCAAAACCGCTCGAAATCGGATGCACTGGTTTTCTGCAAAGCTTTGTCCTGGACCGATCAATCTCCATCAATTATTTACTTGAGCTCTTTTCTCAGGGAGGCGTATTCGAACAGCCTTCCTGGCGTGACTGACGTCTCCTGATGCAGCTGCGAGGAGCTGGCGGACGGCTGCTGGGAGTTCTCTTTGTTCGCTCACTTCAATTCCGGTAGAGCTCTCCACGCGGTGCACCCTCCCCACCCCCAGCCCGGGCGGAGTCATCACACATCGCTTTCCCCAGTAGATAATGGTTTCCAGACCCACCGTCCCACAGACAAAGGGCTCTTGTGATGCCTCGACCAATTTAGTACAAACCGACTAAATATCCCTTTACAGAGATCGTTTACAGACGGGTTTGTCCTCGGTACATTTCCTTCTCTCCTTTATTGAGTTCTAATTTCAACTGTGAATACAAGGCGTAATTGCTAGCATCCATAATCTTTACCGTAGTGCATGTGATTAACGGGAATCATCCAATG